AAGAACAAACAAAATATTTGGCATCATCAGGAAACATATTGAGACTAAACCAAAAACAAACATTTTTTTTTCTCTGAAAAACATTGATGCACTTGATACAGTGCTTTTCTTTGCATCTTAAAAAGGCCATAATGTAGTCAAAAATGATGCAGAGAAATCAACTTCTCATGATTATGGGAACGAAACATTGTCTCATATTAAAAGATTAAAGTTGTCATAGAATCATAGAATGATTTGCATTGGAAAGGACCTTAAAGATCTTTTTGTTTCAATCCCCCCGGAATGATCAGAGACTCCTTCTACTAGGCAGGTCCCACCCAGCCTGGCCTTGAACATGTCCAGGGATGAGACATCCCCATTTTCCTTTTTCATCTCAATCCATTTTCCAGCCTGCATTTCGGCTGCGGATTGCCCCAGTGCAAGTGCAGAAATTTGCACAGACCCACCTCTCAGGTGTGTCAAGGTCTGTCTGGGTGGCATCTCTTTCCTCAGAGTGTTGACTGCACCACACAGACAGGTGTCATTGGTAAACTGGCTGGGCCTTTCCATTTTGGGAAGAAAAGCCTGAGCAGATGATAAGTATTGGCCAAGTCATGAAGACTGTTAAGGCTGTTGTTATTCATCAAATCCCCCAGTACCTGAATAAACTCACTGAAACTAGCAGGATGAGAGCTCAAGAGAGGTAAAAGAAAGTAGTGCCTTACAGAGTGATTAGTGAGTTAGTGGCATGTGTTGCCACAGGTGATCGTGGAGATAAATAATATCAAGCAGGTTCAAAACTGGATTAATCAAGTTCCTGGGCAATATGTTGATAATTGGACAGTGAAATCAGGGATACACTCCCTGCAATTCCTTCTGTGAAGAATTTCTTCTGAGAAGATAAGGATAGTGGATGGCAGATAGTGGAAGGACTTGTGTGTGATTGCTAAATAGTGCCTCCTACTTCTGCAGAGAAAATGCTGAGCTATGTTACTGTTTAGCAAGCTTGCACAGGATGATGATACCAGTGTCTCACCAAGGTTAATATAGTGAGTCCAGGGAAAAGGTAATGAGGAATCATGGGAACCTGCATCACCTTATTCTCCACAGTCAATGGTGAATAATAGTTGAAGGATAATTTGAGGTAAATGTAACTATATAAATCCTGAGAGATTTTTTTTTGAAGTGGGCTAAATTTAAGTTTTAAGGAGATACATATCCAGCTGATTCACTCTCCAATGTTTTCATGTTTGAAGAAAATAATATGAGGCAGATGGTTTAACTATAATATAATTTTGTACATATTTAATTGGTGGGGGAAAAACAGTCTTAATGAAAATTCTTTGTATTTCTACTTATCTTTTTCCTGAGGGATGTATTTCTATTAATTTTAAAGGAAAAATTCAGATTTGTTAGGATAACTCCAGCTGTCTTCTGAAGACCCACCTATTATTAACATCAATAACTTAGATTTTTCTATAATGTTTCTACTTTTTCTTCCTAATTATTTCCATATGAAACTCATGTCTCTTGTAGATTTCATTCCATCCTCTTCTTACCTTCATTTAAAGTTTGGGTTTTTTTGATATGCCTCTTGTCTTATGACTCATTAATTTTTTAAAATATTAAATTAAAACCACATATATATAACACATTTGTCCCTGTAAATTCTTCTAACAGACTTCAAAACAAATGAAATTCACATTTTAAGTGCTAAAAAGAAAAACTGAATAGAAGGAATTGAGGTATGTTTTTGATATAACAGTTTCAAACAATTTACGTCAAAAATTCTAGTGTGCCTATGATTATTTGTTGCCTAACTGAAGTATATTTTCAAAATATCTTCACTTTATCTGGAAAAACTTGAGGAAGAAGATAATGTTTTGAGTGAAGTCAGCCATGCCTAAAAAGGTGAAGCAATATAGTTTAACATGGCATCTTTCTTTCAACAAACTTACTAACATGACCTCATCTCTGGGCCCCCAGAATGAATCAGAGAAAGCAGCCTTGAAGAGATTAAAACAAGCAGCCTTGAAGAGATTTGTTTTGAGAAGTCTTTTTAATATCAGTGTAGAATTAGAACTTTATAAAAATACAACAACACTGTAAATGAATCCTGAAAAGGTAGTATACTAGTTTCTTTTCCTATAAGATACCATGGCCATACTGGAAAAATTCATAGGTTAAATTGAAGAGGAAATACTCTCAGACTAAACACATATGAGCAAAAATGAATCAGTGAAACACCTAATGAGAAGAATCATGGAAACACACACTTCTTTAGGTGACATAAACAGCAAAAGAAAGGCTTGGATAAAGGTGTGTTTGTTGCTGAGTGGGGCAGGCCATCTGCTGTCACAGGACATAGAGAAGCTGAGGTACTGAATACTGCCTGTTCCTCAGCACTTACAACAGGACTGCCATTTTCAGAAAGGTGAATCTTGTAATTGCAAATGAATATCTGAAGGGAGGATGTGAAGAAGACAGTCAGGCTCTCTTCAGTTCTGTCCCACAAAACTACAAGAGGCAATGGTCACAAACAGAAATACACAAAATCCTGCTTAAACATGAAAACCAGGTTTTTTTTACTGTGAGAGTGACAGAACTTTTGAACAGGTGCCCAGTGAGGTTGTGGAATCATCCTCAGCAATACTCAAAAGTCATCTGGATTTGGCCCTGACCAACTGATATTTGATGCAGAGTATATTGCATTTGATTTTGGATAAATGTAATAATTGATTACTTCCATAATTTGTTTCCCAGGTCCTATTAATGCAGTAGAGCTTGTAAAAAGGGATCTCAAATTAATGTTAATGACAGCTCAGATATTTACATTAAGCCATTTTGGGGATATGTTGGAGAAAACATGCTGTGATTCATTTTACTTTATGAGTTTTAAAATTATTCAAGGTCTGGATCTTTATTCTTTTAGTTTCACTCAAGTTTTCATCAATTTTGTGTTTCTACTGTGTACTGCACTAGGATCGATAGACAATTTGAAATGTCTTTTGTAATCTATTCATTATTTCATGCATACTGAAGGCATCTTATATACAGGAAAGGAAAGGCTGTATCAGTATTTTGAAATGATATTAGGATTTCCAGTCTATTAGGAAATCAATAACACAGATTTTGTGAAAAGGAGCTCATCACAGAAGAAATAGTGCAAAAATTAATTCCTAACAAAGCATAAATCCAAACAGGCATGGTGTGAATTGTTAAGAAGTAGATAAGTTTTTTTACATGTATTATCAGAATTTTAAAATGCATTTTATCTCTTTCCAGCTTAGGAGGAGATTTTCTATTTTTGTCATAGATTAAACAGGTACAAAAAATTTACTTGTATGCCCAGAAATTTTCTTGGTAGCCTTTATGATTAGGCCCACTATCCAGGGAGTATTTTGTACTTGAAAATGAAGGGACAATCAAAGAATTAAGATTATCAGTAGAATATCTACATTTAATTCTTGTCTCTATTGAGGACTTTTTGCATAATGTAGAGGAAATGATTGTTCTGTGATACAATACCTCATCTCTAATCTTCAGAGGGAAGAATGCGTCTGCCTTGTCTGTAAAGTCTTTGAAGCAGAGACTGTCTCCTTGAATGCATTTTCCAGCATAAAGTACAATGGAAGCTCTGATTTGTGCGAGAGCCTTTAAGTGCTACTGTGATACGAATAAATAATAATTAGTAACAGATGTTTTGTCTACTTTCTTTATGAAGTATAAGTTCATGAAAGAAAGCAAATTTTCCCCTGTAAATTGAAAAGAACTCAGAGGTCAAATTTTAGCTGTTATTCTAATGAAAAATGAGATTCGCCTAAAGCTGTTGATAAAGAGTATATTTTCATAAATTTCTCCTATTTCCTGTAAGTTGTATTAGAATTATTACTGTGATTTTAGAGTTTGAGCACACAACAATATTAAAAGCCCCCACAGACTGCATTTTTTCCCTTTAGCTGTACTATAAAGATGACATCAAACCTTCCCCAGAGTCTTGAACTACCTTATTGCTTTAATAAGTAAGAAATAACAAGATTGATAAAAATTTCAGTGAGATACTTATGCTGGGAGAAATATCAACTAGTATCTATCAAGCATTATTGTTTTAAGTAACAATGTTTTGCAGAAAGTCAAATTAAGGTAGATTGCATTTATTTTTATGTTGGCAATGCTTTAGTGCATAGACCTCACTAATTTTAAGCAAGAAGAAAACTTGAGTTAATTCCAACAGTCTCACCTTATTCTTCCTGTCTGAGGATAGAATCAAGAATACAAAAAACCAAATTATTATAATGATGTTTTATTTGTGGTTCAGTGACCTGAAGGAAGGGAACTGATGTCTCCACTGATATCATCTCATACCTTGTCAAGTTTTTATATTCTCTTTGAATTTTCTGCTCATCAAGATAAACAAAGTCAAAGGATTAAAATAAATTTATGTTCTGATACTTTCTAAATTGCTTTATTATAAATATATATGTTTCAGAGTTAGAAATAAACTTTAATATATTTGACAATGAAAAAGGATTGAATCTCAAGAGAAGGATTTTAGAAGAATTTATTGAGTAATTTGCTTGTTTGAAGTACACAGATGATGGAGAATTGTAAGTGAACCACTTTAACTTTTAAGTATTTTTTATCTGCTGATTTGCTGAATGCATAGTGTCTCGTATCAATACTAATTTGGAAATGAATGATTTCAAGGGAGGAATTTACAATCTTCTACCATAGGCCAGCAAGAATACAGAAAGGAAGAAGCTGTCTCCTTTGCATATATAGAGCAGCTAAATTTATATTGAGTTAGCATTATTCCCTGAAGTTCTCCTGCCATCCTGTGATATCTCAGGATCCTTATTTGAAGAAGCAGAGCATTCGGCTATTTCCATGAATGTTAAAGGGACAGCAAATTAGAAATAAAGATTAGAACCAACAACAGCTTTATTAGAAGAAATGGCTATGACCCCCTCCTATCCTTCTTGTCATTAAAGTCTCACTGTCTTTTGGATTCTTACTTACAGCATTCTGTTTCTCTGGATGTATTATGCTGTGAGAGCTGGGCCACTGGGGGTCGAGAGTGGATTGCCCCTGGTGGACAATGAGGTAAGAATCAATCTAAGACTGTGGGAAACAAGATGCTAAGAAAGGAAACATCTGGATAGTTTATGGAGAGGAGAATGGAATTGTGGGAACGATTATGTTAATGTGGTTGCACCAAATAAGGTAATGTTCTTAGTTCTTGTTAATGATTGGTTAGCAATATTTTACGTATAAGGCAACATAATTGTTTATTAGTTCACTGCCCTCTGGCAGTGCTGTAACAGTCTATATATTGTTATGCTTACCCCATTACGGGTCTTTGGAGATTGTTCTATATGGTGTGTGGCTTATCCTTTTGTTAGTGCTTACTAAAATTGTTTTTTGGGCAACCTCCGCTGATCCTGCTTCTTCCATTTACGAAATTATGCTGTCTGTTTTAAAACATTTTGCATTCCTCCTAAGTTAGGAAGTGTAGGATATCTCTACTTCACATCTTTCCACATGCGTGCACTTTCTCCAACACTCCTTTATGTTTCCCCACCATTCCCATTAATAGTAATCATCAGTTCATTTTTCCTTCCTTAAACTCAAATGTTAGCTGTGAGAAGCATGCTCTAAATGTCAGCAGTCTCTTTGACTCAGTCTCATTTTCTTATGCTGTTTGCTAGTTTTGCTTATATGAGAATTGTTCCATCTAATGCTCTAAAGCTCTCTTAGCCAGATCCTCATCAAATGTAAATTTACTTAACATCATTGGAAGCATTGGAGCTGAAAAACAGTCTTCTATGCTTCTGACTCTTCAGAGTGTAATAGCTGTATAAAATGCAGAATCAGAGAATTGCTGAGGTTGGAAGGGGCCTCTGGATATTTTCTTGTGCAATGCACCTACTCCAAGCAGTCACCTAAGGCTGGTTGATCAAGACCATATCCAGACAGTTTTTTAATATCTCTGGGGATGGGGACTGCAAATCCTTTCTGGGCAAGCTGTTCTTATGTTCAGTCAGCCTCAGAGTAAAAATATGTTCTCTTATGATGCAATAGAATTTCCTGTGTTTAGTTTGTGGCCATTTACTCTCAATTATTTCCAGGGTGGCATGAACGAGAGCCTGGCTCTTTCTTTACTTCCTCCTGTCTGGTATTGGTAGACACTGATTAGATTCCTGAGCCTTCTGTTTTTCAGGCTAAGCTGTTACAGTTGTCTCTGCTTTTCCTCATAGGCTGGTTAGTCCAGTCCCTTAATCATCTTAGTAGCCTTTCACTGGACTCTCTCCAATATTGCCATATCTCCCAGCACTAGACACAGCACTTCAGGTAAGGCTTCACCAGTACTGTACAGAGGGGAAGGATCACATCCTGTGAGCTCTTGGCAACACTCTTCCTAATGCAGTGCAGGAAGCTACTGCCTGCTTTGCTCTAAGGGCAGATGGCTGACTTGTGTTCAGCTTGCTATCCATCAGTGTCATCCTCCAGTCACCTGGTCCCTGCACGTTTCTATGGTGTTCTTCCATATGTCTTCCAGATGTCTTCCCTTTGCTGAATTTCATAAGATCCCTGTCAACCCATTTTTCCAGCTTCCTGAGCTTCCTCTGAATGACAGCATAACTTTTCTGGTATTATCAGGTGCCCTTCCCAGTCTTGTGAATTATACATAATTGCTGGGGGTACATTCATCTATATAATTAAAAAAGATGATAAACAGTGTTACCCCGGTGCTGACCCATTGGGTTTATCATGAATGGCTGACCTCCAGCTGGACTTCCTTCTCTGATGATAAGTCTTCAAACCTAGCAGTACAGACAGTTTTCAACTCACTGTTCATTTATCAAGCACATATTTCACCAGTTAGCCTGTGAGAATTTCACAGGAGACTCAAGTCAAGATAAACAACATCTGCTGTTCTCTCCTTGGCTACTGAATGAGTCATTTCACAGTAGTCAGGACCCTGGTAAAGCTGTGTTGACTGAACCTCAGTCACCTTTCTGTCCTTCATGTCTAAAAGTGGCTTCCATGTTTAGCTGTTCCATCATTTTCCAAGGGTTTGAGGTGATCACTTTGAGGTCCTCCAAATCTTCCTCCATTCCATTCCTCAAAATTGGAGTGATATTTTCTTACTGCAAGTCCTCAGGGATCCCCCCTCTCTTTCCCCATTGGCATGGCCTTTCAAAGATAACCAAAGTGGCCTTACAATGATGTTGATCAACTCCCTCAGTGCTTCTCCACAGAGGGTACTTTCCTTGCTCCAGATTTTCCTGTCATTCTCAGGGCCCTGGGATTCTTGTAGGCAAATATTCCCATTGATGACTGAGGCAAAGAAGGCATGGAGTACCTCAGCTTTTTACGTCCTTTTTTACCAGGTTCCCTACTCCGTTGAGAAGTGGGCCCACATTTTCCCTCCTCTTTGCTGCTCATGTATCTGTAGACGCCTTTGTTTTTACTCTTTACATTCCTCTCCAGATTTAGCTCCAGGTGGGCTTTGACTTTTATGACCACATCCCTGCATAGTCCCTGTGTGACCAAGCATTCAATAGCTCTATATTCCTGGGTGATTCAAATTTTCTTCTATTTTTTGCATGCTTCCTTTTGATATCTGAGCTCAGTCAGAAGCTTCTTGCTAATCTGAGCAGGCCTCCTGCCATCTTTGCTTGATTTTCTGCAGTTTCTAATTAAGTGCTCTTGGTCTTGGAAAAGCTGATCCACAAAAATCAAACCACTCTTCTGGATCCCTCTTTTTTCTAGGACTGCTGCCAATGGTATTCTTTTGAGCAGAATCCCTGAAGTGTCAAACATCATCTTCCCTGCCTGGAGAAGCATATATTCTGTAGCTACTTCTATAAGCTAGTCTCATCAACTCTGTTTTATCCAGTCTATGTTTAAACTAAAAAATACTAATAAACTAATTATACCACTAATTATAATAAACTAATTTATTCCACTGCTGCTAATAGTATTTTAATTGACTTTTCATGTTAAAAGTATAAAGCCTAAAAATCCCAAAATCTCACTGTATCAAGTTTCTGCTCTGCGAAATAAATGAAAAGAGTATTCATTATTTCCATGCTACAAAGAGGCACAGTTTGAGAGGAAGTTAAAGCTGTGTTGTGTCAGACATGCTATAAGCATATGTTAAAAGAGAACTTGTAGTCTAGACCTTATAAAGTTCCCAATACAAGCCAACAGAGCAAGAATAACTAAAGCGTCTTCTCTGCACACTTGCAAGATAACAGCAACTCACATTCAGTTTAGAATCCAGCTTTCCAGCTTTTTAGGTTCTTCCTGTCTTCAGTATATCATGTTTTCCCTAGTAAGCATTTCCTGTGCTAATATTTTTCCCATTCTAAATGCCACAAGTGGCAACATTTGTACCTTTTATTGTTTTCTCTTTGTTCTATTGCTTGTTAGAACTCACTGACAACAAAGTCTTTTAAAGATTCCTTTCTTTTTTTCTGCTTTCTTAAACCGATTTCAGATGGTTTCATTACATCCTCTTTGATCATTCTATATAATTCTTCCCCTTCTTTTGCACCTTCTCATACTCTAGTTGGTGCCTCCTTACACTGCTCCAACAGGTGAAGCATAAATAATATTTAGAAAATTAATTCTCTATATGCTATGGTCTAGATATTCCAAGAACTGGAATTTCTTTTGCAGTAGAAGAGCTATTTTTAATTTGATGTTTATGAAATTCATAACAACAGTTGAATTGGCTGTGGTTTTATAAATGAAATATATGAAGAACTCCTATACCACTAGCTGATCTAACTGTCCTTAGAGTGCCCTTATGTTTTCTTCCAAATACTAAGGCTTCTTCCTACTTCACTCTGAGCAGACATAGTGATAATGAAAAACCCTTTATGCATATTTAATGGCATGTTAAAAGCCTGTTGAGCGGTAAGAAAAACACAAATTGCTTCAAAACCCTTATTTTTTGTTATTTGTTCTCAGAAGTTGTGGCTCTAGCAGTAAAACCATCATGTCTCCTTATCACAGTGTAAGTCTTCACACTGGGGAGGCAGTGTAACATTTTGGTATTTTGATCAAGGGGTTGATGGCTTCCTGAGATAATATAACAGATTATATACCTTTCCACTTGTGGATGTGCTTAACTGGGGACTCCATTGGTCTTTGTCCATAACCATAATAATTGGACAGTCAAGTTGTAATAATCTCCAAGCTATCCCTTCTCATTACTACATTTTTTGATCTGTAGCTGTATTTAGAACACATAAACACATAAAAGCTCCATGCCATGACATCCACTTTTAAGATACTCAGATTTCAGTTTTGGTTTCTTGAGAAAAAAACAAACACATTTTTACTGTACAGGTTTATAATTCCCCAGGCTCTATACAATAAAGTGGATATATTCCCAATAATCAGATTAGACTGTCTTGATCTTCTGTTTACAAGATTTTTTACCTTGCAAAGCAGTTCAGTATTTTCTAGTAAAAGTTAACTTAATCTCAATTTGTGTAAAATTTCTTGATGTGTTTCCTAAGCCTGTTTCCTAGCCTTGCTAACATCACAGCATCTTTTTATTGTCACTTCATTATCCTCATGTTTTCCCACAACAGAATTTAAAAACAAGAATATGGCTTCAACTCAGCCCTAAGAACTAGCAGTGCTTATCTTTATATGATGACAGCAGCATAATTTAATGGTTATATATTACTACATTTAGTTTGTATGTAATAATTCGGTTTCGTGACTTTGTAATCTCTTGTTATGGAATTGTAAATATATAATGGAAAAAAATTCTGGTCCATGGACCTTTCTTCAGGTATTGTGCTCTTTCATGTTTTCCCTAATGTTTTGTAAATGTTTCATAAGGAAATGTTAGTAATTTTTCTTTATTTTTGATAGAAATCACATCTGAAGCTGACCTATTTCACATTGTTAGGCATTCTTTCTCATTTTGTGTCCAAGGTGGTATGCATGAACATAAAAAAGTGTATTTAGTATGTCTGACATAGTGACTGTGCCATAAAACTAAATCATGCAGTTCGAGGAGATTGCTATATTCAAAAATCTGTTAGAGATAATGTATGTAGAGATAACTGGAGGAG